AGACTGTGACCCAGTCAGTGAGACTGTGTCCCAGTCAGTGAGACTGTGCCCAGTCAATGTGACTGTACCTAGTGAATGACTCCGCACCCCCCAATGAAGGAGCCTGTACCCCCCTAGTGAATGAGACTGTACCCATTGAGATACTGTAACTTTGAGATACTGTAACAAATAATACTAGACCCCAGCGGGAACCTGTGACCCAGTGAGGGAAGCTGTACCCCAATGAGGTATTGTACCCAGCAATGCCATCCCCCAGTGAACTGCCCCCAGTGAACGCCTCCCTCACTGCAGAATGCACAGCAACAGGAGCTAGTTTACAGGGTGAGCGAGTGACATGGGATATATCTGCACAAAAAAGGCATGGTAACAGTGAGCTGGGCTAAGTGATAATGCAGAATGGTGTAAACACATCTCATTGGAGCACTCCCCAAGTTGTACTGACCCGATCAGAGCTCCCTCCACCAATCCACCCCACGCCCCGGGTACCTGCACTGTGCTGGTGGACTGTGCCCCTGATATCCTGAAGCTTCTGTCGGAGCTGGATGGAGTCACACGTTGTTCCCAGAGAGAGTGCCAGCTCACGGTGAGACACACCGAGCGTGTTCAAGAATCCCTGAGTGTGCTGGCAGTCATTGAGCATCTCAGTCCCCCAGCCTGGCTCACTAAGCTGGCACAGCAGGTAGGAACGCAGGCAGCTCAGGGCCTGCGAGGGGATGAGGGACAACCGAGAGCCACACACGCTGTTCATCGCTCAGTCCCAGCACCTCTGCTTCCAGCTCACCGACACAGACCATACACGGGGGTGGGGGGTGCTCTTTGTGCCTCACCGAGTGCTCATCATTCCCCGATAAACTGCTGACACTGGCTGAGAGATGTAACACACGCACTGGCCCTGCACTAGGACCAGTAAGGGAGGAGTGGCACTCTGGACTCAGGGAAACAGGCTGACCTTCTCCCAGCGTCTGGGATTCAGAGTTTTGGAACAACTCTTTGAGGTGCTGAGCTCAGTGTTCCTGACGGGAAGACTGGCTGGCATTGGGCACTGACAGAGGCAGTAGTGCCTACTCTCTGAGGTACTGCCAGCATCTGGATACCAGCTGTTAGTACAAAAACCTGAGGGTATATTCGTAAATGAATCTGAAGCAGGAATTGTCATTAGCTGTTCCTGCCAGTAATGAAGGAGGCTGGAGATTTGAAAGCAGTCAGGAGTTTGGGTACAGCTTTGTGAGGTCTGTACCTGAAGGAGCAGCGTAACTTGCTCACTAACATGACCGTGGAGTTTTGAGACATGTTCAGTGTTTTTGAAATTGACGGTGACTGGAGTCAGTGTAAATCTGTGCTGCCACGAGAGGGATAGTGATCAGCTCTGTGGGTCCATCACACAGTGTTTACAAAGATCCCATCGAGTTACAGAGAACTACCTATCTCTCCCAGTAAGAAAGCAGGCCATTTGGGCCATCTAGGCTAGGAGAGAAGAGGAAGGTTGCATTTATTTGGAACCCCACACAATCTCAGCATGTACCCCTTCCCAGCCAATAAAGCACCCTGAAACAGAGTCATTGGGATCGCGATGTAGGAAACGCAACAGGCGATTCTTTACAAGTCAATATCTCACCCACAGTTAGGAAATGAATGAACGGGTATTCCACATCTGTCTTGGTGCAGGCATTATACATGTGGCCAGGATATGGGGTTGAAACTCAATTCCTCAGAGCCGGGAAACGGGGTCCTGATGTAGCTTTGTGTTAAACAGGTGACACCTCTGGCAGTGCAAATCTCCCTCACAATGATATGAGCTAACATTTAACACTCCAACCTCTCCCCACAATAATATACAGAGTTCTCTCCACCCTCAGGAATGCATCATATCTCCATTAAAATCAGCAACCTTTCACTGAGAGTATGATGTGCAGGTGCCGGTGTTGGACTGGGGCAGACAGGGTCAGAAGTCGCACGACACCAGGTTATAGCCCAACAGGTTTATTTGAAATCACAAGCTTTCGGATCCTCGCTCCTTCAGGTGAAGACTCCACCTGGCAAAGGGGCAGCACTTTGAAAGCTCGTGATTTCAAATAAACCTGTTGGACTGTAACCTGACGTCATGCGACTTCTGACCTTACTGAGAGTAAAATTGTGAGAAATATAAAAAACAGACTGTAAAAGCTTCTTTTGGTTTGTGAACAAAGACAAATGTGGATCCATTCCAGGCAGAGACAGGAGTTTATTTTGGGAAATAGGGAATTGGCAGAGAAGTGAAATGATTATTTCGCATCTGTCTTTACAGAAGAAGATACAGAAAGTCTTGTAATATTTAAAAGGCAAGGGACCGGTGAGAATGAAGGACTGAAACAAAATTAATAAGACTAAAGGTTGGTAAGTCCCCTGAACCTGATATTCTAAGTCCCAGAGATTTGAAAGAGGTGGCTTCAAACAAAGGGGATGATTATCTTCCAAAATGTTATCAATTCTGGAATGGTCCCTGAAGACTGGAATTTTGTCAATGTCACCAAGTATTTATGAAAAGACGGTATGAGAAAACAGGGAACTACAGACCTGCTAGCCTTACAGAGGGTCAATGCTAAATCTATAATAAAAGATGTAATAACTAGGCATTAAGTATGATCTGAGTGGGCAGAACCAATAAGGATCATGTATGACAAAGCTGTCATAGGTTGTTTTTATTTATTCTTGCAACGTGGGCATTGCTGGCTGGGCACAGCAGTTCTTGCCCATCCCTAATTGCCCCTTGAGAAGGTGGTGGTGAGCTGCTTTCGTTTCATTCCTCCTGCTGCGGGTCGACCCACAATGCTATTAGGAAGGGAATTCCAGGATTTTGACCCAGCGACAGTGAAGGAACGGCGATATATTTCCAAGTCAGGATGGTGAGTGGCTTGGAGGGGAACTTGGAGGTGGTGGTGTTGCCATGTATCTGCTGCCCTTATCCTTCTCAATGGAAGTGGTCGTGAGTTTGGAAGGTGCTGTCTGAGGATCTTTGGTGAATTTCTGCAGTGCATCTTGTAGATAGTACACACTGCTGCTACTGGGCGTCGGTGGTGGAGGGAGTGGATATCGTGGATGTGTTGCCAATCAAGCGGCTGCTTTGTCCTGGATGGTGTCAAACTTCTTGAGTGTTGTTGGAGCTGCACTCATCCAGGCAGGTGGGGAGTATTCCATCACACTCTTGAGTCAGGCCTTGTAGATGGTGGACAGGCTTTGTGGAGTCAGGAGATGAGTTACTCGCTGCAGTATTCCCAGCTTCTGGCCTGCTCTTGTAGCCACTGTGTTAATGTGGTGAGTCCAGTTGAGTTTCTGGTCAATGGTTAACCCCAGGATGTTGATAGTGGGGGATTCACTGATGGTCATGCCATTGAAAGTCAAGGGGTAGTGGTTATATTGTCTCTTATTGGTGATGGGTTTTGAGGATGTATCTCAGAGAAAGTAAGGGAGAATTAGTGGATGTGATGTATGTAGATTTTTAAAGGTTTTGAATAAGGTCCCACCCTGGAGATTATTAAATAAACGTAGAGTCCTTGTGATTGAGGGGATAATTAAGTATGTGTCTAGAGTTGATTATCAGAAAGCAGAGACCGAGAATGAAGGATCATGTTGAGGTTGGGAAGGTGGTGCCGAGTGCAGTAACACATGGATCAGTGCTGGAGCCCCAAATCTTCACAATCTATAATCAATGACTCGGATATGGGGAACCCATCGTAATATTTCCAGGTTTGCTGGTGATACAACATAAATTGGAAATGTGAGTTGTAAGGAGGATACAAGAAGGTTAAAAGGGGATTTGGACAGGCTGAGTGAGGGAGCAAGAACATGGGTCATGGACAAGAATGTGGAAAGAATGTTTAGCTTCTCCACGTAGGTGGGAGAAACAGAAAGGTGGAATATTTCTCAGAGATAGTAAGAACTGCAGATGCTGGAGTCAGAGATAGCACAGTGTGGAGCTGGAGGAACACAGCAGGCCCGACCCGAAACATCAACTTTCCTGCTCCTCTGATGCTGCCTGGCCTGCTGTGTTCCTCCAGCTCCACACTGTGTTATCTCAGTGAAATATTTCTTACCTGTTGAGAGATTGACCAGCGTTGAAGTCCAGGGGAGACTGGATGACTTCGCTCAAGTCACTGAAAGCTTGCTTCAGTTGTTCATTGGTTGCAGTTCCAGATGAATGCAATGGAGGTTTGCCCAACTTATTCCTTGGATGGTGGGATTGTCTAGGAAGGGGCTATTGAGAAGACTGAGTCTGTATTCTCTGGAGGTTGGAAGAATCGCTTTTGGAATATTGTGTGCAGTTCTGGTCTCCCTGCTGTGATCTAGTTCAATGGCCTACTCCTGCTTGTTCCTATATCTTTTTGTACCATAAGCCAATGGGACGCAATTTATGCCTATAGGATGCAGAAAAGATTTGCAAGGATGTGCCGGGACTGGAAGGTTTGAGCTGTAGGGAGGGGCTGAATAGGCGGGGCTATTTTTCCTGGAGCATTGGAGGCTGAGGGGGTGACTTACAGAGGTTTATAAAATCATGAGGGGCATGGATAAGGTGAATAGCCAACGTCTTTTCCCCAGGGTGGGGGGAGTCCAAAACTAGAGAGGGCATAGGTTTAAGGAGAGGACAAAGATTTAAAAGGGACATAAGGGGCAACTTTTTTCATACAGAGGGTGGTGTGTGTATGGAATGTGCTACCAGAGGAAGTGGTGGAGGCTGGTACAATTACAACATTTAAAAGGCATCTGGATGGGTGTATGAATAGGAACAGTATAGAGGGATATGGGCTATATGCTGGCAAATGGGACTAGATTTATATAGGATATCTGGTCGGCATGGACTGATTGGACCAAAGGGTCTGTTTCTGTGCTGTACAGCTGTATGACTCTAATGACAGACGATCTCATTGAAACACACAAAATTCTTACAAGGTGAATGTTAGTGCTGGCAGGTGAGGCTTGAACCGGGGGAGCCTCAGAATAAGGGGAAAGCCATTTAGGGCTGAGAATGAGGAGGGATTTCTTCATTCAGAGGGAGGTGAAGCTTCGGAATCCTTTACCTGAAGAGACTGTGGAAGCTGAGTCATTGAGTATGCACAAGAAAGCAATTGATCCATTGTCAGATATCAGCAATATTGAGGGATATGGGGATTGTGAGAATGCTGTGATCTAGTTCAATGGTGGAGATAGTATGGGGGGTGTTGAATGGCCTACTCCTGCTTGTTCCAATGTCTTTTTGTACCATAAGCCAATGGCACACAATCTATGTCTATTCTCCCTTGGGTGTATCAGCAAGCACATACCTTCGTAAATGTGAGTATGTGCCCATGTCAGCTTTCCTTTGTGAGTATGTCTTTCTTTAGATTCATTTACAGGATGTGGGAGGCCACTGGCTACGACAATATTTATTGCCCATCCCTAATTGCCCAGGGGTTAGTTAAGAGTCAACCACATTACTGTGGGTCTGGGATCACATGTAGGCCAGACCAGGTGAAGATGGCAGTTTCTTTCCCTAAAGGGCATTAATGATCCAATGGGTTCTATGAGAATCCATAGTGGACACATGGTCACCTTTAGGTTATATTTTCATTCTGGATTCGAGCCCACGCTCCCTGAGCATTAGCCTGAGGTTCTGGATTACTAATCTACTGACACTTGCCATTACAGCACCCTGTGTGTAATCGTGTGACTGTATGAATGTGTGTGTTTGTGTAAGTCTCTTCATGTGTGTATTTTGTGTCGGTATGTATGCATACA